TTGCACAGATAAAGTACATCTTGTCTTTGTGTTCATCAACTGATGGACATTCGGATTATTTCCACTTTTAGGCTATTGTAAATAGTGCTGCTATGAACAGTCACTACAAGTTTTTGTGTAGCCATTTGTTTTCATTTCTCTTAGGGAGGGAATTGCTGGGTTATATGGCAAATTTATGTTCAACTTTTTTAAGAAACTGAAACCCTCATATTTCTCTGCCATCCAGAGTCTCATGATGGAAAGGCATATGAGACTGTCTTGGATAGAAAAGAAACATCTGCCAGCACATAGTTGATAAACGCAGTGTCCAGAGAAAGCTAAGAGACTACAGCCTGCTCTTAGGCATTTACAGTCTAATCTGGATGTTCTAACACATGTGTTTATAGAGTAACTTGCTAATGTGGAAAACTAGAATATGAACAGGGGTCCAGACAATCTATGCAACATGAATTCAGGAAGTACTGGATGCCTACTTTTTACAAGACTCAATGTTAAGCTTTCAGAGGGCTAGATGGAGGTTTAAAACAAACACGCTATTCCTCCCTGGAGTTCCTACGAGTCTAATCAGAAAGAGAGGCTTAGTTATCAAAGCATTAAATAATTAAAAATTCAAATAAAAGTTCAAGATAGCAATAGAAGAACAGGGAGGAGGAAGGCAAAGGGGAAAACAGATAAGGGAGAAACTCATCTTTCCTTCAAGATCTTGCAAGAAAACAGAAACCCAGAGTGTGTTCCTTTAACACTTCTGGCATTCCAAAGATGTAAGAGTTTCCACTTCTATTGTTGCACTGGAAAAAAGAAGTGTTAGATAATGAATAACCGGGGCCATGGGACTAGATAGATAATAATAATTGCTAATATTTGAGTACTTAATGTCCCTGGCATTGCTTTAGTTTACATTTTTACTCAATAAATCCCCTTAATAACTCTACAATATAAATATTACTATTATTTTCTTCTAATAATGAGTAAAATGAGGCTCAGACAGGTTAAGTAAATTGCCCAAGGACACAGAGTTAGAAAATGGCGGAACTGAGGTTTGGATACAGGGAGTGCAGAGCTTACACATTTAACCATCTCAAGTCCCGTATTCCAGCTATTGGATTCAGTCTCCAATCACAGATGGGGAGATAGACCCAAAGGCGTCAGGGGACTTGTCTGAGGTTACTTCACTGATGAGACATGAGATCAGGCACAGGAGTTCCACTGACTGTTAGTCCAGTTTCACTTCTATCAACACCGAAGTTGGATATCACTAGAGAGTCCTTTCTTCCCCCTTTCTTCCTTTCTTTCTTTCTTTCTTTCTTTCTTTCTTTCTTTCTTTCTTTCTTTCTTTCTTTCTTTCTTTCTTCCTCCCTCCCTCCCTCCCT